AGTACTTGGGCAAATATAAACTCTCATTACCAGTTTGGACAAAGACAAGTCCCAAATAGTAAAAGAATAAAATGCTCCTGAGCCAGCCTTTTCACTGCTGCATTGTAGGTGCTAGGGAGCACATTCAGCTACCCACATTCATGGCAAACCTATACAGAAAATCAACTGCCAAAACAGCGATAGTGGATTACATGGAAAAGACTCTAAATACCAAGTGCTTTATGGCATGGGGCTTCCCCGATTTTTTTTATCTAGCTGAGAAAGCTAAATACTGCATTTCTCTGACTGCCTCCCACATTCCGAGTTGCAGCTGGGGTCATGAAGATAAAGGTTAATACTACAGGGGACAGTCTTTTCTCCTGTGGCTTTATAGAATATGAAAAATGCCTTTAAAAAGTAGACATCAGAGCTGGGAAAATCCACATCACCTCCTGCACTATGTAGGGAAGGATGTTTCCTCTCGCTCCATTCCCAGGATGCCTAGCCTTCAATTCAGCAGGGTATTTAGGCATATGAGTAGTTCCACTCAGAGGTTTAGTTCCTAGTGACCAGAGTGATGGGGTTCTTCTGGGCCACTTCTTTGGGGGAAATGGCTCCTGGCTTCCCAGATCCCTAAGCATTGAGGGATGGTCACAGAACATCTTTTCCTTGGCTCAGCCGCAGTTCTTTTCCAATAGCTCCCCCCTTACACAGTCCTCCTCTAGGGTTCATGCCCTTGAGGCACTAGCAGACAGTTGTCAGTCTCTCATTAGTTGTGGCCAGAAAACTGAGATCTTTACATTTCAACCTATTCTGACTAGAGCTAGGAAACAGCTGCACAGCACTGAGGGGTTGGTGACACTGGGGAGTTGTTTTACCAACTGAAGGGCCTAGACTCCTATTGCTGAAAACATTGAGAACAAGGAGCCCCAGGGTATGGTCTGGAGGGTGTGATCCAGCTCTTGGTTCAGGTAGGGTGGCTGTACCTCTCCAGCCAACATAGCGCTGTCTACATTGGAGCTTATGTTGGTATTACTTACTTTGCTCAGGGGATGGTTTATTCCCACCCCTGAGTGACATAAGTTATGATGACATATGATGTAGCGTAGACATAGCCTGAGAGAGCTTTTCCTGTCTGATCATGCAGAGGAGGGACTCTCTCCAGCCTCTCTCCTCCCAATCCTATAGTAAGTAAGATTAAATTAGTCCCAGCCTCTCCTGGGACAAGGGAACTTCTGCTAATTTGTAATTGGAGGGAGGTGTTGTTCCCAGGGCTGGAGGGGGGAAGAGGGATAATTATTCATTCAATGACAGACACTCGGATGATACAGAAATTGTCATACTGGATCTGACCCAGAGTCCATCTAATCCCTCTCACCATGGCCTGCACCAGCTGCCTCAGAGGAAGACTCAGGAAACCCCCTAGTGGACAATTATACAATACATTGCATACAGGAGCAGTTTCTAACCTATCGACTGTGTCTAGACTGGCATGATTTTGCGGAAATACTTATAACGGAAAAGTTTTTCCATTAAAAGTATTTCCGCAAAAGCACGTCTAGATTGGCACGGATGCTTTTGCGCAAAAGCATCCGTGGCCAGTCTAGACGCGATTTTGCACAAGAAAGCCCTGATCGACATTTTAGCCATCGGGGCTTTTTTGTGCAAAACATTTCTTCCCTGTTTACACTGGACCTCTTGCACAAGTATTCTTGTGCAAGAGGGCTTTTTCCCAAGCTGGAGCGTGAAAGTATTTGCGCAAGAAGCACTGATTTTGTACATTACAAAGTCAGTGCTCTTGCGCAAATTCAAGTGGCCAGTGTAGACAGCTGGAAAGTTTTTTTAGATCTTGCCAGTCTAGACGCACCCATCTAGTTTAGTGGTTGGCTTATGCCTCCAGCAGGAGGGTTTTATCTTTACTTAAAAATATGTTTCTTCCTGTCTATTATAACTCTGGATTTTGTCATTTTGAAATTTGCTAAGCCTCACTGATATCTTGTGGCAGGATTCTACAATTGTGTGTTATGTGAAAAAGTGTTTCCATTGATAATGTTTAACTTTGTTGCCTTTTCACTGAATTGAATGTGCCTTTATGCAATAACCTTTTCTATCCCGTTCATCGTTTTTCATGTCTTCTCTTATCCCTCTTCACTTAAGCAATCCTAGTTATGTCATTCTCTCTAATGCTAAATCTCAAAATTATTTTTCTCATCCCATATCTAGGACCTGAAAGAAAAGAAGGAAAAACTGGAGGAGAAGACTGTCTGCAAAGAAAAGAAGAAGGAGATAAAAGAGGTGAGGCAGAATATATTTACTTCTCAAGACATAGGTTTGGAGGGAATTGGGAGGATTTTTGGCATTGGTTTGGGGGATGCAGGTTGGTACAGAGAGGGAATCTGGGAGGTGAGACAGATGAGAAGTGGACCCCATCAGGGAGGCAGGCGACAGAATGTGAGTTAGAGCCCTTGCGGAGATGAGAGGGATGGGGAGCACATGTTGGATTGGAGTGGGCTAATCAGGAGGCAGACAGCATGGGGAGTATGAGCCAGGGAGCAATGAGAAGGTAGCTGAGAATGGAAAGTGCCGACCAGAAGAAGTGGGATTGGGAAGCATGGTCTGTGGTGGGGACAATGGATTGAGGAGGCAGGGAGCCACGGGTAAATCGATAGACATGGGCTGGGTGAGAATATTGAGGATGTGGTGACGTAGGGAGTGAGGGAGATTGAGGAGGTGGATGGTTGGAGACAGTGTTAATATAGTAAGGAAGGGGTGAGATTGGAAAGGCAGGTGATGTGGAGGAGGCACAGACTAGGGTGGGTTGAGGAGGGCTCTGGGCATTAGGGGAGGCAGGCATCATGAAAAGCACTGTCTAGAAGATATGATGTGAGTGACATGAGGAGCAGAGTCCCCAGAGGAATCCGAGAGGGTTTCTGGGGGAAGACAAGGCAGGCAGCATGGGGTTGCAGGCTGGAGGGGGTAGGTGGAGGTTGGGTTGTGGGGAGTAGAATTGTGTGGAGAGATAAGGTTGGGAGGGTGGGTGGGTGGTTTTGGGAGCACAGGCTGGCTGGAATGAGATAGTTTCAGGTTACAGGAATGGTTGGTGACATGAAAAGAGTAGGTCAAAGCTGATTTCTTTCTGTGGGTTTGTCTGACTCAGGATGAGGAGAATGGTGCAGAAGAGGAAGAGGAGAATCCTGAGGATGTGGATGAAGAAGAGGCAGGAGAAGAGGATGAAGGTGGGAGCAACCAATATGTGTGGGAAGGTTGTGGGATCCAGGATTACATTGCCACGGAGACTGAATCCCCTCTCTGAGCATCTCCAGCAGGGGCAGGTTCCCTGGAGCATTGCCTGTATTAATACGTAACTTGCTGTTTTGCTCATGTCTAGATGGAGATGAAAATGGGCAGGAGCAAGACGGACATGCAACAAAACGATCAGCAGAGGAAGAAGAGGAGGTGGGTGATGGCATTGAGAACAAAGGGGGCTGGATGCTTCCTGTCTTGGAGTTGGTGAATTCCATATGGATTCTATCACTGAGCAGGAACATCACCACCTATGTGACTATGGGATACACACATCTATGTGGTGAAGGGATAAGGAATCCCCATGGATGCTGTGCAGCATTGATCCAGATCTTCCCTTTTGCATATTCCATGTAGGGCGCTCAAGATTCAGTGGGATCCTAGATATGGCATATATCAGTTATTTCTGTGACTTATGTAAAAAATTGGATCCAATGTGAGATTGAAGTTTCTAATGAGGTCACTGGGATCCAGTTTTGAGGGTGGATTAAATGTAGAATTTGGTAGTCTGGATCCATGTGGAGGTTATGTATTGGAAATAATAGTGTCAATAGCTCGTAAACTGATCTTTCCAGGTTCATTCACCATGCCCATCACACTGGCCTTTCTGAGCACCAATCACCTGTAGGGTCTGTAGAAAAGAGGGGATTCCTGGGGAGAAAAACAAACTATTTTTGGGGGTGTCATGCAACATTGTAAATCACGTGCAGAGAGTGTGCTCCAACGTGTAGGATCACATATTGGGTTGAATCCTGCATAATATTTGGGGGAGGGGGTCAGACAGCATAGATATGCTAATCATACTCTCTCTTCTCTCCCTAACCCTGTATAGGATGAAGCTGATCCAAAGAGACAGAAAACAGAAAATGGGTCTTCAGCCTGAGTTTTCTGTTCCCACCCTCTTTTGCTACATCCATCTCTCCTCCCTCCATTCCAGCCTATGCTTGCACTGTCCATGTAGCCTCTGACTTCATATAATCTCAGATACGGAAGGATTAGAAATGCTCTCAGACAGGGAAGAGGGCATGGGACTAAGATTCCCTTCCACCCCAATGTGTAGCCTTCCTACAATGCTCCCAAATTTGAGGTTACTCACTCCCTCAATCCATTTCCATGGCTGACTATTTCTGCACAACCCCCCCCCCCCAAATAATCCCAATAATCCTAAAAATGATGACGCCTTCTTCCAGTAAGAAATCTGACATATCCCAACTTCCAAACTCATCCCACAACTTTTTCACTTGCCACCTCTCTCCATTAATTTGATCAATATCCTCACCTATCTATGCTTCTGAGACCTGCCCTCCGACATCCTCTCTGGGGTACGGAAGGTTGAAGGCAGGGTTCTTCTGGAGATATTTCCCTATTCTAAGCTCCAATGCATCTTAACTGCTTTCCATCTGAACCCTCTGAGAGAGAGAAAGAAAGACAAGGAATGTTACATGAAAACTTTTTATTAAAGCACACATACATGCAGAAATAGTTTAACATTAAAAAAAGTTTACGTGACAGGCAAGCTGGCCCCATGAATTTTTCTTTCCAGAACATAAAGGTTGTTTTTATCTATACATTAATCTGTGTTGCAGTTTCTCTTATTTTTGGGCTTTTTTTTTTAAAGAACAAGAAATAATTAGGGACCAAATTTTGATTTTCATCCCCCTTTGAGACTACTTTGTTGCTGTTTTTGTAAATTAAAGCCGATCCAACTGCGATATTTTCTATGGCACAAACCATCACAAGGGTGATAGATATAAATATATATATTGTTTTCAAGTAGCACTGTAAATAAATGCATTTAAAAAAAGATGTTAAAGTGTGCATTTGTCCGGTAGTGCCTATGAATCTTAATTCAAAATGTGAACCAGCTAACAGGTCAGTCTGAAGAACAATAGCACATGGGTTAACTTGAGCAGCGGTTGCTGCAGGGAAAAGCCAGGAATGGTGCCCTCTAGCTTTGACCTGGAGACTCTTGAAAAGCAATCTGTCGTGCTTACTTCTTTCTCCTTCCCTCATACCGCTCCACTGGCATGCAAAATATGGCAGAAATTCAGCAAGCTATTTTACTGGTGATATTCTGAAAGCATAGATCTGTGCACCAGAGGCAACAATGCCCAGAATGATCAGGATACTATGCCGAGGTTGCTGGATTCAGGTTCTGTGGTGTGTTGTAACTTTCTTGCTGACCAACGCACCTTGCAACAGCGTCTCCCTACATTGCTCAAACCAGGTTAAACCATGAATATAAAGGTGCACAGGAGTGTTGGAAAGAGATTTAGTTCCTGGCTCACTTACATGACTGTAGTACAGCACTGGTTAAAATTATACATATTTCCAATTTTTAATAATTTTCATCTAGACTTTGAATTATGATGGAAAAAATAAGGGCCTATTTCTCAACATAGCTTCACGACTCACATCTTATACTGGTCTTAATCAGCTGTTTGTAACTGCTGTCCATGAAGGCCAATAACCCTCCCATGTTGATAGGGATCATGAGCGACAGACTCAAATGGTTACTGTTACATCTTCCGTTTTTGCTTTATTTTTAAAATCTAATGGAAATAAAGCTATATACCAACCAAAATACAACAGCCACAGAGTAATATCAACACATCTGAACCTCATTGACTTTCCGCTTGCTCAGCCACTTTTGTTCTCAGAATTGTTCCTTCTGCAGCTAGCTGTTCAACTGCAGAGATGGATCTGCCACCTGGAACCTGTGTGTTTCCTCTTCCTGGTGTTTTCATTGTCATTGACTTCATTTTTCTCAGCACAAGAACACTCAGTGACATTTTGGGTGTCCTCTAGATACTTGATTTTGTCTATCTGGGCATGTTTAGACTACATCTCTCTTCCAAAAGAGGGATGTAAACTAGATCGAAATTGTAAATGAAGCCGGGATTTAAATTTCCCGCGCGTCATTTGTATAATGGTGGCCGTGCATTCTTTTGAAAAAGAGTTTTTCGAAAGTAAAACTGCCATCTAGACGGGGTTCTTTTAAAAAAAACACCTTTTTCGAAAGATCCTGTACTCCTCCAAAAGGGTTCTTGAGCAAAATGGCCCCATCTACATACACTGCATTTTTTTTCTGCAAAAACCTCTTCTGCAAAAAGGATCAGAAGAGAATATGCAAATGAGAGTGCGAGAAATGCTAATGAGCGCTTCATTTGCATTTCCTCTTCCGCAAAAATGTTGCAGTGTAGACGTCGTCTCAAATGGGGAGGGAAGCTACTCTTTCACTACAGACAGACTGCAAGTCACAATTTATAGGAAGCACTTTAGAGACTAACAAAAATATATATGGTATCATGAGCTTTCATGGGCAAAACTCACTTCTTCAGATGAGATCCTCTTGAGTCTCAAAATCATCTAATCTGAAAAAGTGGGTTTTGCCCATGAAAACTCATGATACTATATATATGTATATATATTTGTTAGTCTCAGCGGTGCCACAGGACTACTTGTTTTTAAAAAAGTTGTTTTTAAAGTTACAGACTAACCCCCTCTGAGACAATTTATAGGGGAAACTCTAGCCCTTGGCGGGAGACAGAATTACAAGCTACAGCCTAGTACCTTCTGGCTGGGGCAAACAGTACTTAACAGTCTATAAAGGGCTTGGCTCCCCAGTCGAGGCCGAGCACAGTGTATAACCCAGCACCTTCTGGCTGTGGCAAAGCAAACACAGCAATCTATCATCCCTGGGCTTTTTAGGCAGGGGCAGAGCAGACAAAGCAGTCTGGAGTCTGGCTCCTTGCCCTGGGTAGGTGGTGGACAAACACAGGCCTCTTGGGCCACAAGTGGGGAGGCAACTACCCAATGGGTAGGGTGGCAGGGGTTAGGGAGAGGTTTCCCCCTGCCTCCCCCATGCCACCACATCCCAGCCCAGGGCCCAGCAGTAGCAGAGTGTTTTGCCATTGGGCCAGTGAGGAATCCCATCACAACATGCTGACTCACCCTCTGGGAGCAGAATGGGCCTAGAGTCTGGTTCCCTGGGATACTTTGTACTGCAGTGTGGGTGTAGAGCTGTCCCCTTGGGGTACTTTGTCGTGGATAGTTCCCACAGCTTGTATGATCATTCATCTGAGGCTGTGCGCAGCTCCTCAAGGCACCCGTCTGTCTCCTCCCACCACAGGATTCATCTCCACTTGGGGCCTGCTTCAGGATCCTGTTGAGATCCCAGCTCCCTGGAAGCACGAGCGCCATTTCGGGAGAGCGGGGAGCAGCCAGGCACACCAGGACAGCGGTTGCTTTTCTTCCCATTCCCCTGACAGTAAGAAAGCCAGGGGAAAGTACTTATGTACTGCCTCTCGCCCTGGCTGGGGAAGGGAAGGGGCAGAGGAGTAATTCACAGAATCCAAGCACTTTCCCCTTGCTCCCCCATAGTCAGGGAATGGAAAGAAAAGCAAGCTGTGTCTCGGTGCACACAGCTGCTGCCCCCTGCTCTCCCGAAACAGCGCCCTTGCCTGGGAAAACCGGCTGCTACATCTGGTGCTCCAAGCCTGACTGAGTGCCAGGCCTCTCCTGTTATATTTCCTTTCCCATCCTGGTAATTCTGAGGGAGGAGGGGCAGGGCAGATTTAGCACTGCCCACTAAGGGAGGCCAGGCCACTCTGCCTCACTATCCTGACTGTAAGGAAGCCTGTCAGATGAGTTGTGATGGACTCACAAAGCTAAACAGGACTCCCACCAATCTGCCAGGAGATTTTTATTTTCATTCTCAAGGTCTTTGCTATTTCTACCAAGGCTTCTGAGAAACGACCGTGTTTGAGTGCCCGCGAGGGCGTGGCATGCCGTGCGAAGCTAATACATCACTGTGAAGAGCAGAAATGAGCCACTCGTGAATTGTGGGCCCCTCTCTGCTGCTAACACATCTGCAGTACCATGGGGAGTGCAGCGCTTCACAGTGGTTAGCCCCTTGCTACTCAGTGGGGTTGGACACAGCTCCATCTTTTAAAATGGGTGGGGAACCTTCTTTGGGTCAGGGAGCCACTGAGCCACAGGAAAATCAGTTGGGGGCCTCACAAAAATGAGAAGCAAAAAAACCCAACAACAACAACCCCACCTCATGACCCCCAACTGAGCCTGGGGGGCCCAGGCTATTAGATTTTGTGGGGCACCCTAGGCTCTGAGGTGGGGCCCAAAAATGAGAGGTTCAGTGTGTGGGAGGAAGCTGCTGGGAAGAGAGCTTGAGGTGTGGGGTCTGGGTGGGAGAAAAGGTGCAGGAGCAGGCTGGAGATGGGGGAATCTGCGTAATGGGGGGCACTTACCTGTCACAGCTCTCTGGGGATGCATGTTTCTGTGTTCACCACCTCTCCTATGCACTGCCCCCTACTGCTCCTATTTGACCTGATTACAGCCAATTGGCGCAGCAGGGAAAAAGCCTCCTGGCAGTGCTTTGCTGCGCTGCTGTTTCCCCAGTTATGGGAGAGGGTGCAGTAGCGCATGTAGCCACTCCCCTCCTTCCTTACCAGGCAGAGCCCATGGGTCACAACCATCCCCAGTCTTGCCTGACTCCAGCCCTCAAAACTCGAGGGAGCCCCAAGCCTCAGGGGCCAGTTCCAGGCAAGCTAGGAGCCACATCCAACCCCGGGGCCCACAGTTCCCCATCCCTGTTTTAAAAGCTGAGCACTGCTGCTTTTGTGACAATTCTTTCTAATTTTCAAAAAGTTTCCTCTTGACAACAATCCCTGTGTCATTGTGTGCGTATCATCCTGAAGTAGTGTGCTGAGTGGAACTATAATAAATTAAAGATTAATTTGTTTAGGTGTGTTAACAGGTCCATGAATCACTGTTAGGACTTATTGTTTTAGGTTATTTCCATTTGTATAAGTGTTTCAATATTCCTTGGGCCTTTTGAACTCCTTTGTAACTGAACTTGGCTACTGTAGCCAGACACGAACCCCATCTTGGTTTCCGCCCCCCCCCCCACG